GCGTGTGTGTTCCTCGTAATTGCCTTTCGTGCTCGATCGCTCCTCGACATCCCCGCTCGGGAAGAGAACGTGTGTCCATTGTGCCGCCACGCTTTCTGCCTCCGCCGTCGGCAGATAACCGCGACTTTCCACAGTGTTCACGACACCGAGCGCTCGTGTCGAAAGGTTCTCGACGAGGAGCGTCTCGCCGCCACCTTCGTCTTCGTCGTCGTCGTCGCCGCTGGTTCATCTGAACTCTCTTTCTCTCTTCCATCTTTTATTCCTCCCTCGCGCGGCGGGGGGTGAGAAAAGAACGTTCGATTGAGAGCCGGCAAGGGGGAAAGGAGGTGCTGGTAACGGCAGGGCATAGTGTCGGACTTGCCCCCGTCGCAGCTGTGCCGCGATTGTTGTCCTCGGCGGTCGGGTGCCGTCGTTGCTCTCTCGTCGACGTGTCCGGGTAGCGATCGGCCGGCTCTCGGCGCTGTCTCGCGTTGTTTACAAATCAACGGTGCCGGTGAACGGTTTCCTGCACGTTCGTGTACAAACAACACGGCGTTGCCTTGCATGCAACAGGCGACACCCCCGCGTTCGCCGAAGTTTCCTCCTGATTAATCGATCGGCAATTACAGTCCGGTGTCCGGTCGCCGATAACTGTCTGTCCAGGCGGACGGTTCAAGCGTGGTCGCGCGGTGTCAAGCCGCTGCCGGTGTATACGCGGCCGCACGCCGCGATCAAGAGGAGTGAAACCGGCCGTGAAGAGTCAGAAGGGAGGCAGGTTCGCGGAGGCGCGCGACCGCATTGGCGTTCCGTGGCCAGGGGGCTGGGGGTGGCGGCGGCGGTGGTGGTGGTGGTGGTGCGTTACCGTGGTGGCCGCACACGGAGTCCTAGGGAAAAATCGGTGAAAAGTTTCGGGTGCACGCGCAAGGAATATCAGGCCTTGTAATTACGCGTAGGTAGCTAGTGGCGCGGCTTAGAATCAATACGAAGGGATTACTTCGCCGCCGGTTCGACGGGGATCGATGGAAACCGTGGTAGAACCATAGGCAAGGCTAGAGGAGGATAACACGGCCGGTGGGATCCGTGAGTTTCTTTGCCACGCGACGCCGATCCCACCGACGCGACGTGGCGGTGGGTACAGGCCAACGCAGTAAAGACGACTGGGCACCGTCGTGGCTGAGGGTGCCTCGACGGGGTTGGTGTGTGCCTTCTGTGTGTTTTGGGTGGGGTGTCAGCCACTCGTTAATGCCGTGTCGGCTCATGCAGCCGGTTTGCTAAAAATGGCAGCGTCGTTCGGCCTCCACTCGTGGAATAACAATTACTGGCTACGTCCGCGGAAGAAATCCAGTTGACACACGGGCGCGGGCAGCTAGGAGGGACAGAGAGTGGCGAACACGTGGTCCGTTACGGAAGCCAGCTAGTGCTGGCGGTTCGCCGACCGGTGGTGCGTGTGTCGGCTAGCTACGCCCCTGGCGCACGTGCGTACGTGTATATTCACCGAAGGTACCCTCGCCAGCCCTGGTGCACGTGTGAGTGACAAATCGCGCAGTGAAAGTGCCGCGGGGGAAGGCTAGTGACTTTTTCTCTTGGGTGTACGGTACGCGGCTCGTCTCCGCTTCGGATCCACCGAGATCTCGTCCAGTTGACAGACGAAACTTGACGTTTCGATTCGGTTCGGTTCGATTTGCCGCGGTTCAGATTTCTTCGATTCGGTTCTGTGTGTCACGATGTCGCCGAGCATCCCCCTGCGCGTAATCATCCCCGTGGCACGTTGATCGATATTAAGAATGAATAGACGCGAGACGTGCGAACGGTACTGGCAAGAATAACTGAACCGTATACTCAGGATTGAAACGTGGTACCTTAGTTTTTCTTCCGTCGCCGGTTCGAAAGAGGAAGAGTAAATAGAACGAGCGACGTGGCGCCACCTGCACGACTACGTCCCTGGCCAGGCTGGTCTGTTGACTCTGGTGGTGTTTATTCGCGCTTGTCCCGTCTCTTTCCCTCGTCTGTTCACGGTATCCCTCTCCCTCTAACGCACCGGGCCATTTGTGTGTTTGGAGGATGTCGTGAATTTGTTGCAATGTGACGGCAAGATGAATGAAGATTAGCGTGATGTCGGACCTGTGCACGCGCCTTGCAGCGGGTGCGCGCCCGGATCTCGACCGGATCGCCCTTGGAACGTCCTGAAACAGGTTGGAAATCAGCGTGAAGATGCCGGCAACGCGACCGTACAGGTGCCCATTGTTGTCGCTAGATCACAGACTTTTCCGCGGGACTGCGACGCCGGACTCGAAAACAGATTCGTGAATCGTGTACCGTGCGTTCTGAGTGCTCTGCCGGCCTTCGTAGGACTCGCGTATCGCGTTCCGTGCCCGTTATAGGTTAGGTTACCGGCACATAACCTGCAAGAGATCAGTGAGAGGTAGACTTGTTTGCTGGAGTAAACGACGGATTCGTGGCCTGCCGCGGATCGAACTCGACACCGTGGACGAGAAGAGATATCCTGTTCAGTGCTGATTCCTGCCACAGTGGGTGATCGGTGCAATGGAATGAGCTGGGTGACTACAGGACAATGAAGGCCAATGGGACAAATAATGGTGATTTCTGTTTACTTCTTCACTTGCGTACACCTCCCAGAGTATTCTGTGTTCTGTGTTACCTTGGCACGTAGCTTAGTAAGTTGGAATCGTACAAAGTGAGTCCGCGTGCCAGCATTGTTTACATTAATTGCATATAGGTTTTTCAAGTTCGTGGTACAATATAGGATATCTTGTACTCAGACAAAAGGTTAATTAGTATTTCAGGCATAAACTGACTGGTACGTAATATCCTTTCTTCAGTATTAATGCGGGGAAACGTAAATGTAACAGTTTTATGTGTGTAAGATATGTGAGTATGCTTATGGTTGAACCATACAGAATGAGATCAGATTACGAGACAAACTATAATATTTCTCTCATAGTTTCATACTTCTGCTATACGAAACTGCAACAGAAGTGTAGTTAACGAAGTTTATTTTCCCTAATACTCTATTTCAGACATTATATTAGTCTCCATTAAAATCCCACTTTCAATCACAATATACTTAGTTCCTCCTTATCGATTCTACTAATCCCAAGCATCTCTATCCTTCAAAACTCCTATATAAGTACTATCTATACATACCTCGACAACTATAAACACCATTAGCAAGAAAATTCCACTTATCGGAGTCTTACATCTCTCCAGTATCATTACCTATCATCACAAATTACAATTACAAACACCTAAATACTCCCAAGTACTCTTACCATCCATCCTTACCAACACCTCTACTATAATCATTACCATCAATCATCCAATATTCATCTATCAGATCCACCACGGTTCCCAAGTTCTAAAAAAGTTGATGTTGCACCGATTGCAGGCTGTAGCCGCCTAAACACGCCATTGGCAGCCACCACCACGCTGGAGGATCCGGGAACGCCAGCCTCTTGGAAGGGCCCGCCACCCGGCTCGGAGGCGTCGCCCTTTACACCGAACTCCGTCAGCCAGGGTGGAGGTCCAGGGTCCGGTCCCTACAATAGTACAGGTGGTCCACCTAGCAATGCAGCCTTCCAAGGTCCGAGCCCGTTTCCCGGTGGTGCTGGGAGTCCAGCGGGCGCGCCACCTTATCAAGGACCTCCGCCTGGTTCCGCGACACCTCAGTACACCGCCTCCCCGGCGCCAAGCGGTTCCTCGACACCCGGTCCAGGACCGCCGCCGAATTCCGCGGGCTTCCCACCACCGCCGAACAATTCCGGGCCACCCTACAATGGACCCGGTCCAAGCCCGTTCGGCTCGCCATCTGGCGGACCACCGCAGTTCGTCGGTAGACCCGGCTCCTCGGGACCGCCGTTCGTACCCCCGGGAGCCGGGAATCCCCATTTCCCCTCGCACGGACAGCCATTTGGCGGACCCCAATACGGTATGCCGCCTGGCAGCCCGTTCGGACCCGGCCACCCGATGACAGGACCCATTGGACCCGGTCATCCCGCCATGATGGGACCCGGAGGACCTGTGGACAGGATGGACCAAGGGTGAGTCTTTGATGTTTTTAGAGTTCTGTTTGTTTGTGGAAGCACTCGGCCAACTTACAAGGTAGTCTTTGGGTCTGATAGAGTCTTAAGTTCAGTTTAAAGGTATATTGAATAATGATATGAAAGGAATGTACGTAGTATCAGTTTGATTGCGTTCCTTTTAAATATGGAAGAATGAATAAAGTTAAGGGGTTGAAATAGACACAACATTGCAGGGCTAAAATTGGAGTATCGATTGTAGATATTATCTTGTTGGTTGCGAAGTTTTTCCATTGACGAGCAACGCGTTAATTGCAAGTTCGATCTATTCAATCGCTCCCTTTTGGTAGAGCGAACTGCAGCTGGAAACTTTCCGACTATCTTCTCCTTTTATAATATTAATCCGCAAATAAATATGCGAACAGTCGGAAACTTTCCACCGGAGGCTACGGTATTTTCTAGTCACGTCTAGTTACGTGACACCGTGGACCAGCGTTGGTAACACGAGATAAAGGAATACTGTGGTTTCCTTGTTTTTGCATGCTTAAGAAACCCCCAAGCGCGTCTCGCGTTCGTACGCCGGTTACCGAATTTCTAGCGAGGATTTTCCGAGGCAGCGATATCTCGAACGTTAATAGGTCCCCCGATCTTCGTTATTTATACGGAAACGCGATGACTTATTTATGCCGTGACTCACGTGCCGTTGGATGTATGTACCATCGGCGTGTAAAATATAAGGGCGCAGCAGCGTTAGACATTGTCGGGCAGCTAACATTCCTAGATAACGTGGTCCACAGGTAGTCAGTGTTATTTATCACTTGTCTGCCGGTTGGTCCGCATTCTTGCTGATAATCCTGCCGTGGCAGGGCTGCGTTTCTGCCCTTTAGGAACGGTTTCGATCGGTTCGGCCGCGTCGTCGTCAATGGCCAGGCAACTCGTTCTCGAAATCAGTTACACACGGGCCGAGCTTGTACGGACGCTTCGACACGATAAAAGCTACAGATGTTTCGGAGTATGAGAGTTGTTGACGCCGTGCAGCGGCGGTTCGTTTACTGATAGGGATGAAAGTAGCGGGTTTTCGAACGTATCACCTGCACACTCGTAACCATTTACCTGTTGGACCTTTAGTCATTTTTCTGTCCCCTTGCCCGGAGAAACTATTTCTGGAACATGTCAATCTTTATATCCGAACAAAGAACTAAAATAGATACATCGCGCTAGGAAACATTAATCTCAACTCGTTTACAAGTTGTCTACGTAATCCCGATTAACCTAGCGAATCAAAGAATTCCCTTGAGCATCACGTTGAATATATAACTTCGACAAATCATCCGGTTAACAGGTGAAGACGTTATACAACGTCTATGATAAATTGGTCTCGACCCGCGCAACAATCTAATAGATCGAAGATACGATGCTTTTTTTCCCGTCCGCTGCCAAACTTAGTCTTCGTCAGTGCCAAACGGTGCGAAAACATATTGTCGTTAAGTAGCCGTCTTGCGAACCGAGCAAGCTGGATTGCCTACGCAGACGAAACCTGTAATGAACGGCGCCAACGGGGCATCTCTCGATGCTAAACTTGGCAGCCGTGTCAGCGAGTCACTGTCTGCGATCTAGATCATCGATACGTACCGAAAAATCGAGTTACAAGCGCCCCGTGAACCAGTTTTCCGAATAGTTTCGGGTTGTACGGTCCCCGAACCCGCGCGACTGGTTCTCTAAATCAGGCGAACGGAAAATTTCCGTTTTTTTCATCGAAAAAAGGAAAGAAAAGAAACGCTGCCTAGGATCGGCAAGAAGAAAGGAAAAAAAGGCTGGCAGCACACGCGCAATAAGTTTCTGGGCTGGATATCGCGGTCGAGACAATTTTTAGACGCGCGATACGCGCTCTCGCGTGGGCGGCCACGAATTCCTCACGCGTGCGTTTACACGCGTTCGAGTTTACGGGCGCTTTAAATCTCGGCCAACTACCGAACCGATCGTGTAAGTGCGGGAGAAAGCTGATGCAGTGCCGGTAGTATATTCACAGCTTTCAGCGTTTTACAATTCGAAGCACAACTGCGGTTGTCGGCCGAACTTTCCCATTCCCGACCAGCATTGTCGGTTCAGGTTTTTC